CATGAAAATCCTTATTTGTTGTCTGTTCCATAACTTAGATGAGTGAAACACAAAAAGGTGACTATCTCCCCTTCTGTGTCTTCTCAATCTGTAAATAAGATCACATACAGATACTTCTCAATTTATATTGGGGCTACATTCTGATAAGTCCATCATATGACAAAATTACCATAGGTCAAAAATGCATGTAGCATGCTGATCAATCCATCGTGAAGCTGAAAAATCATAGAGTCAAACCATCATAAGTTGGGGAGTGTCTGCATGTGAAAACACTGTGTGCGTGATAAAGTGCTCTCTAAATAGTTTAGAAGCAGAGTCTGACTGGGAGAGATATAGACCACCTCTTTCAAAATTCTCCTCTTTAAACACTTCATTTTTGAGGTGCTGCAAAAGCTTTTTTGAGCACCCTGAAGGTACAGCCTTACTCAAGAAGAAAAGCCCGATGAGCACACTTCATTTAGGAGATGAAGTAGCCACTTCCCAAGTCCACATAGCTGAAGCAAACTTTTTATTTTTGAATTCCAGTTGGACCAGTTATCATGTACCTTTGATTTGAGTTACACACAGGATTTTGTCCTCCTTGTCTGGAGTGTCTGTTTCACTCTTAGTGATATTTGTATTCAGAAAATTGTGGAGACTTATCACTGATTTGTTTCTCATCACCCAGATGTGGATGTCTGCCCTTCCCCTGTCAAACAAGGCCATTCCATAGGCCTCTAGATCTGGCAGCCAAGAGAACTAACTCATTTTTTCACCTTCTTTTGATTGAGCAACTCTTACAAATCCTCAAACACAGATTGCACAGGACTCTACACTTAATTGACATCTTAATCTGAAAAATCTCTTAATCCCCAGAGAAACAACTAATCCTAACATAGTAATACTCAAAATAAAAGGAATATGAGAAGCTTCATATGTAAAGGTATTTCCTTATTTCTGGATAGTTGGAGATATAAGCATCAAAATTGATTTGAAGTAAGATTAAGCCAGGTTCAAATTCCAGCTCTGCCTATTGCTAGGTGAGTGTCCTTGGACAAGGCTCAGATGCCTTGTCTGAAAAATGGAAATGGTCATAAATTTTCTTAGGGTTTTTGTGAGAATTACATGACATAACAAGCAAACAATACCTCTGAGTCTCACTTTTCTCATCTATACAATAGAGATCATCTCAACTCCTCAAGGTTGTTGTGAGATATTGTGATATGAAGGTACTTGGCACAAAATAGTGGTAACAAATGTCCATGTTCCTGATTCTTTAGGCTCCACCCACTCCTTACCAACACATCACCCTATAAAACCAGCATAATTTGTCTCTTCCCTCAGCAAAGTGAGTGACTATTTTCAAATGCAAGAAAGTAGCTACGCTTGCAGGCTGTAGAAATTTGGGAAAAGACAATGTAATATAGCAGAGGAAGTGCTAAAACTGGAGCCACAGATTAAGATGAGTTCAATTCTGACTCTTCTTATCTGATCGACTATAGAAAAGTCACTTAACCCTCTGGATCTCAATGTTTTCATCTATAAAATGGAAGAAATAATATTTATTACCTGATAGGGGTATTGTGAAAATCAATAAACTAAAGGAAATTGAAGTGTTGTCAGTTGTAAAGCCTTATATGCATATATATCCATGGCCTAGAAGTTCTATAGCCTGATTCACAAAATTGATCCTTACACATAAGTATCCATCCATTCACTTATTCATCCAACAGAAAAATACTGACACCTACAATGCTCAGCACCATGCTAGTACTAGGGATACAAAGATAAGAAGTCATGATTTCTACCCTTTTTGGTGGAAGGACAGACATGCAAACAAACCATTGTAATATAATGTGTACATGTCTGAATGGATGCAAATTAAAGGTACAATAGTTGATAAAATAAAAGGATCCTCAAGACTTCCCAGAGGAGTTGAGGAAACTGCATTGGCAGGTTGCATTTGAGCTAAGACTTAATGATGCATTTGAGTGTGTCAAGCAAACAAGCATTATTTCTAGCAGAAAGAACAGCCTGGGCAGGGACATGGCTAAATGAAAGCAGTGGGTTTGTGGAAAAATTTAGACAATAAGGCAACGAAGAACAACTTTTGTTGAAATTATTCTATACCTGAGACCAAACTAAATCCTTAAAGCTTCTATTATTCAACAACAACAACAAAAAGCCTGCCTCGTAGTCTTGGTTGCTTTTCCCCTTGCTCTCCATTCCTTTGGGGAAGAAAACTCTATCTGAGACGAAATTGGTTTCAGCAAGGTTAGTGGCCAGCTCCTGCCAAGCCCATCAGTCCCTCCTCTCACTCCCTGAGTGAGCACGCTCAGTTGAGTGACTTTGACATCAATACATTTCACTTCCTATGGAGCAGAAGGCCGGCTCCAGCCTGCAGTAGGGGCTCTCTGCAGAACTCCAAACTAGAGCTCTTTTGCTCCAGTGATGCCTAATGCTGTGCAAGCGGGATTAGTCTCCTTGGGAACCAAGCCCCCCAAGGGCTCAAGGGCTGAAC